CCGGGTCCACTGGTGGAACCTCTTCTAACCGGTCCGGTAGATTTGACGAACCGGTTCTACCGAATAGGTGCGAACTGGTAGGAACCCACCTCTGAACAAAGTCCCGTAAACCCCCCCCCCCCAAATTGTGTGTTGCGCAGGCAAATCTATTTGTCTTGTCCTGTTTCCTTTAAAACCCAGGACCAAGCAAACCACCAAGGTTATTTTTAATTCTTGTTTGAAGGCTCATTCATTACAGCTATTGATAGCTAGCTCAAGTCTGCCTCAGAGATAAAAAGCTTTAGTGGGGGAGTTAGATAAAAAGCTTTAGTGGGACAAAATGAGGCATTTTGTCATCTTTCAAAGAAGGAAAATCCTGCAGGATGAAAAAGCAATGAAAATCCATTTCTCTCTTTCATGTCCCTCTCCCCAACTCATCTGCCTGGGTTTTTCCATTTCCACATAGCTGGAGGCAAAGATTTCAGATTTCACTCAGAAAAGAGCCCAGAATAGATTGCTCAGAAACCACAGATTGTGACAACATGATTCCTGATCCTTTCTTATGTAGTCATGAACACAAACTTTTACAGAATTTCACAAGTTCATTTGGTGTGTGTGTGTTTTTTTAAAATATCATGCTAAGCAAAGAGGGGGGAAAAGATATTCTTGGATCAAAATTTTTGAAAAGCTCAGGCTGAACTGAATTAATTAAGTAATGTACAGACATGGATAAAATGAGATTTAAATCCATGGCTGCCAGAATAGTTATATATATATATTTGGCTATAATGCTTAGGAATGTTGAAACGTTTACAAAGATTGGTACAATGGGAATTGGAAGATGATGCCGGTTTTCAGAATGGAAGTTTAAAGATTTGGAAGTGTCCTTTTTCAGAGATCGTGCCAGATTATAATTCTTTGGTGAAAGGAGGCTATGATCCAGATTTCCCATCCAAATAGAGATCTGCAGATGAGCAGAGTCCATCAATCACACGAAAGAACTCTTTTACTGCATTAAAGTAGTTGACAAACTTGGTTAGTTTTCGTGATATCTGCCCCTTTCCCCTAGGAGTCTCCATAAAGGTGAATTTCAGTTTCCAAAAATCCCAGTAAATGTCAAGCTGGCTAGGGAATTCTGGGAAATTAAATTGATGCATGTTGAAGTGTCCAGATTGGGGAAAAAAACTGAAATAAAACGAAGTATATAAAACCTGATATTAATGCATTTTTTCTCAAACCATGCTAAAGAAATTTCCCTCGATGCTATATACAAAACGTATTTGAAAAAAAAAAGAGAAAGCTAATGCAAAATTTTGTTTTCAAGCACTCTCTGTACACATGTGATCTCAAAACTGTAATATTGTTTTTTTTTTAAAGAACCTCAGAATATTTGTGCGAAATGTACCGTACTTCATTCAGAAGAGAAACCCATTGGCTCTACATTGACCTGTAATAATATTTCTAAGCACATATCAACTTCTGATCAAGCAAATAATCAGGGGTGGGTTCTACCCGCTTCTATAGAAGAGGTTCCACAAATCTACAGTGCCGTTTAGAACCGGTTCCAGCTTCCTTCCCCCCTCTTTGCTTAGCATGATATTTTAAAAAAACACACACACACCAAATGAACTTGTGAAATTC